ATGATAGCTCTCTTCTTTTGTGTGTGCCATCCACTGCATGGTAAAAATAGAGTCAAACATACTTAATATTAAGAAATCAAAAAATGTAGAAATGTATTAAAATAAAAATTATCTGTAACCCTACAGCTTGAATAAGTGATGTCACTTTCTTTGTTGCTGTTGTTGCTGTTGTTGTTTAGTGTGTATTAGTGATAGATAAGTCACACATAAATAAGTACAAGTACAGTTGAGGAAATGCAATCAGATCTATGAGTCTGTCTTTTCAATACTAATTTTATAGTAAGAAGTGTGAATCCTAACATCCCTTTTCATAATTGTTTGGTTACTCAAGATCCTATGCCTTTCCCTATACATTTTAGAATCTACTTATATGTACCTACAAAAATAAATCCCTCTGATATTTTAATTGGAATCATGTTAATCTATAAGGCAGTTTGGAGAGAATTAACATCTTTACCATACTGGGTCTTTCAAACTATGAACAAAGCATATCTCTCCATTTATGTAGGTCTTCTTTGATTTATTTCATCGCCATTTTATAATTTGCTTTGCACAGATCCTACATAGGTTTTGTTAGATTTATACCTTAGCATTTCATTTTCTTTTTCCTTTTGGAGTTATTTGTAAGTGGTGTTGTGTTTTCAATTTTAGTTTCCAATTGTTTGTCATTAGTATGTAGAAACATGACTGATGCTGTATGTTGACTTTGTTTCTTATGGTCTTGCTACACTCCCTCCCTCTCATTCTAGATTTTTGTAGAGTCACTTTGTGTTTATTATTCATCTTGTTCACTCTGGTATTATCTATGTAGGCATGTTACTTGCAAATAGAGTCAGATGATTTGAAAATAGTTTTATTTCTTCCTTTGCAATATTTCTCTCCCTCCTTCTTCTTCCTCTTCATCTCATTCTCCTCCTTCTGCTTCTCCTTCTCCTCCCCATGCCTCCTTCCTCTTTTTTTCTTTATCACACTGGCCAGGACTTCAAATTTATATTAAATAGGCGTGGTGAAAGTGGACATCCTTGCCTGTTCCTAATTTTTTTTAGGGGGTGTGTGTACTGGGGATTGAACTCAGGACCTTGCACTTTTGAGGCAGGTGGTGGCATCACTGAGCTTAATCCCTGGCCCCTTCTGTTCCTAATTTTTGAGGAGAAATAGTCTTTCATTATTAACGATGTTAGTTATGGTTTTATTTTTATAAATATCTTTCATCAGATTAATAAAGTTCTCTCATATAAAGTTCCCTAATTTTCTGTAAATCTTGATCATTAATGAGTGTTGTAATTGTCAAAAGTTTATACTGCATCAATTGTTATAGTCATTTGGTCTTTTTTCTTTTTAAATCTGTAATGTAGTAGATTGATGTAGTCAAATTTTGGACCAGTATTGGCTTCCTAAAATGAACCCATCGTTATTGTGTTTTAGTCTTTTTCTATATTGCTGGACTTGATTGCTAATATTTTGTTGAGAATTTTTTCATATATACTGGAATTTGTCCTTTTTCTTTTCTTGTACTATCTTTGGTTTTATTGTCAAGGTAAAGCTGAAATTTAAATATAAGTTGGGAAATGTTTATTTATGGGCCCACATATTATTTAGAATCATGCTGTTTAATATCCAAGTATTTGGAGATTTTTCTAGTCTTTATCTTATCAATTTCAAGTACTATTTCATTATGGTCAGTGAATATATTTTGTATGTAATCATTTTAAATTTGTTAAGGCTTGTTTTATGATCCATGATATAATCTATCTTGAGGAATGTTGCATGTATGCTTATAGAGAATTTGTATGCTGCTATTGTTGTGCATGGTGTTTTATAAATGCCAATTTAACTCAGTTGGTTAATAAAATTGCCTAATTTCTATATATTCTGGCTACTTTTATATCTCTTGTTTTATCAACTACTGTGAGGCCTGTTAAAATTTCCAACCATAATGAAGAATCTGTCCATTTATCCTTTAGGTCAATTAGTTTTTCTTTTCTGTATTTTGAAGTCAGTTAGATTTTGTTTTCTGTATTTTTAAGCCCTGTTGTTAGGTTCATGTACATTTAGGATTGTTATATTTTCCTCATGAATTGATCCTTTTGTCACTGTGTAATGTTCCTCTTTCCTCCTAGTACGTCTTCTTTCTCTAAAATCCACTTTGTCTTATGTTAATATAGTCACTTAAGGTTTCTTCTTTTTAATTAGCAGAGCGAGAGGACATTGCCTCAGACACCTTAGGTCACATTTTAACTTACCGTTTTTTTCATTAAGTTTATTGGTACATTTTAGGTATATAATGCAGTTACATTCATTACTGGGAACTTGTACCTTTTCGTGATGTATCTTGGTTCTTATTTTTTCCCCCCATTAAGTTTATTGGTACATTTTAGGTATAAAATACAGTTACATTCATCATTGGGCTCTTGTAGCATTACATGAGTATCTTGGTTCTTTTTTTTTTTTTTGGTTCTTATTTTTTTCCCATTCCCCTGCCCTCCCTTCAACCCCTCCACCCCTCCCTATTTACAGAGACTTTGTTTCCATTTTTTCCTTTTCTCATATTTTTTCCTTTCCCCTACCCCTCCCACTTCCACCACCCCTTTAGACCTTCTCTTCCTATTTCACATTATCAATTATACATTTTGATCCTTAGTTACACTTTCAGTTTCTCACACCAGAGAAACTATTCAGTATTTACACACGTATGTCCTATTTATTTCACTTAGCCATTTAAGGTTTCTTATGTTTAGTGTTTGCATGACAGAGCCTTTACTTTCCTGCCCTTTAGCTTTCAGCTTATTTATATCGTATTTGAAGTGAACTTATTGTAGACAGCATAAAGTTAGTCCTTTAGTTGGTGTTTAGATCTTTTACATTTAATCTAATTATTTACTACATTTGGAAATCTGCCATTTTATTGTTCATTTTGTTTGCTCTGGCTGTTTTTGTTCCTCTAAAAAGGAGAAAAGCAATAGAGATTCTTCCCATGCCCTTCAGACCGCAGGTCCTCTTGTTATAAGAGAAGAGTTTCCCTGCCTCAGAATTTTAGTCAACTGCAGGGCTAACACTCCTATTGCTGTTGCAGGATTGCCTGGGGCCATAGCAGGAGTAACTAAAAAGAAAAAAGTTCTTGCCCTGTCTCTGTACAGACAGGGTATTCTAGTGAGGCAAAACCACAAAATCCATTGTCAGATTGTTCTTACTTTGAGTAATAGTTTCCTTAGACATTCTGCCTGATACCTTCTACTTTTCAGAATCCTCATGAAGCTGCCCCAGGTACACCATCCATACTTTTCAGCTGTGTCTAGTGGGAGAGTTATAGAGGGGGCATACTTTATCTTTTCCAGAACCAGAACCTCCTGTGTCATGTTTTGCTCTTTGTTTTTTCTGAAGTTTTTCAATGCATATGTGCAAACTTAGAAATACTCTTAAAAATTGATATGAGAAATGTGATATTTTGTTATCTACTGCTTACAAATAAATACTTTGGAAAGTCTTTTGAATTCAGTAAATATAGATACATATCACCATTTTTAAAACTTAGTATAAATATTAACTCCTATTTTCCTTAACATTTCCCTATATGTACATACTGTGCTTTAATCATACACATCCACACTACCACCCTCTTTTGCGCTCTTCTTTCTTTCCTTCTCCTTTTCCTGCTCCTTCCCCAATAGACCCTTTTTTACTTTTAGGTCTTTTTTGGTTTTTGTTTACACATACACATCATTGTTTTATGATTTCATAGAATTCTAAAACACAAATGACTATAAAATATTTAATTAATATTCTATTATTGGGATTTAAAATTTATTCTTGTTTTTCTCCATTATAAATAATGTGGGCTTTTGGGGGGTGATTTTTTGTTTGCTTGTTTTTTATAAGCCATTCCAATGAGTGTGAAATGCTTGATCTATTTTTAAAAACTACTTTTATTAGCTATTGAGATTGAGATTAAGCTGACTTTTTCCAAAAAACCAAGAACCTTACCTTCTTCTCTATGTTTTGGAGCAGTTTGAACAACAGAATTTTTCTTTATTCCGTAGGTCTGACATATGGCATTTATCTTTCTTAAAATTGTCACTTTCTTCTCTCTTCATCAGCTTTCCCAAGCCTGTGCTTGAGTGTTTTCTCTTGAAAGAACAAGCCCTTGGGTTTGTTCACCATTCCTCTCTTTCAGTTATCAGGCTTATTGTTCTGGGGACCAGACTTTGGGGGTGCCTCCGCTGGGGTCACAATGGGCAGCCTGTGGTCAAGCTAAAGGGTCTGGGCTCTAGAACCAAATGATCTGTGTTCAAGTCCACATTCCTTTTCCTCCTGCCTATTTGACCATGAATAGTTATTTAACTTCTTTGTGCTTCAGTTTCCTCCACTGTGGAACAGGTAGAAAATAGTACCCACCTCATAAGCTTAATATTTACATTAAAGAGTTGATTTTTTTAAGTGCTTAGAAGAATGCCTGTCATTTAGTAAGCACCATTTAAGTATTTAAGTCTTACTTAGGTGTCATTCCTTGATATCACCAGGGGATTGGTTCCAGGGCTCCCCTCAGGGCACCATCCATGGATGCTCAAGTCCCCTATATAACAGGATGTAGCATTTGCGTATAACCTGTGCACATCTTCCCTTATGTTTTAAATCCGTTTAGGTTTCTAACAATACCTAGTAAAACATGATATGTAAATAGCTATTATGCTGTATTGTTCAGGGAAAAATGACAAGAAAAAATATTTATGTTCTCAGTTCAGATGCAAGTTTTTCTCAACTATTTTCCATTAGTGGTTGGTTGAATCTACACAGATACATAGTGCCATATATGTATTTCTGTACTTTCTTAAATAAATTTCTGTATTTCTTAAATAAATCTAGACTTCCTACCATTTCAGTATTATTAAAGTATTTCTCAATTCTAGTATGCTAGAAACCAAGGTCCCTAGGAGCTTATCCATGTCCCAAATACACTTTCTGCACCTTCCCACCACTCACACCAACTGCCTCTTATTTTGCAGAACCGCCTCTGTGCAGAAAAACAACCACTCTGCTTTTCATTCTGCTGCCCAAGACAACCACATCCTCCTCACAAACCCCACAGGCTCCCATGGAGAGCTCAGGTCAGTGTGGTGGGGGAAGAGGGTCTGGGAGCCTGACTGCTCAGTGGGGAAGCCTCTGTTGTGGGTGAGCAAACCCCCAGGGCTGGCAGGACTACCTGCATCCAGCCAGGCTGTGAGACCTCAACTCAGCTGCTCAAGTGTGAGAGTATCTCAAATGATTCACATACACACTCATTTATGAGGCCCCAGCTGCTTGCAGGTCACTGAGCTGGACAATGACCATAATGATATGACTAGCCAAGATGTATTACCAAACACTTGCAATTGAATAAAAGATGCATCAAGGGTGATAAAAACACTTGAAAAATATTGACTCATAGTCTTCATAACAACCCCATAGATAGGTACTATTACTCTTGTTTTACAGAGGGGAAACTGAAGCATGTGAAAAATCATGAGATTGTATGATCAAAGCAAGATTTGATCTTAGAAATCTAGCTCCATCATCTGTACTCTTAATGATTTTGCTATGGATCATCTCATGTGTCAGAAGGATTCTATGATGTAGAGATATCATTATGATTATCTTGTTTCCATGGAAGGGAAACTAAGGCTCAGGCAGGTTATATAAAATCCTCAATGGCACACAGCTAGTACATGGGAAATCCAAGACTGGAACCTCAAGGGGCCAATTCCAAAGTCTTGATTCTTCACTCTGTATCATCCTGGGGCAAGGACAGATGACTCTTCCTGCAAATGTGTATCATCTAACGGTCACACAGCAAGTCAAAGACCACTCTTCATGGGGCACAGACTGTAATGCCCTTGAAGATCCCTGTCCTGAAAAAGGAGAAGGGACCTCTTGGGCAAGGACAACTACGTATATACACATGTACCTGTATAGATGTTACATCTATTGAAAAAGAAGTTAACAAACAATAGCAAACATCAACTTTCTCCAACTTATATTTTTCTGCATATCCTTCCACCACAAGGACAGGCAGGAGCACTGCTGGGAACTAGCTATCCTGACACTGTGACCTTCCTCTTTAATTCAGGGAGGATGGTCTTCTATACTCTGAGCATCTTGTCACTTGATTCCCTCCTTGTCGAACAGATCAATTACCTGGGGCTCCAAGTTGGTCACCGAAGGCAACTATTCTCACACTAGCTGCACATCAAAGCTCCTGGGGAATTATTTTTAAAATTCAGTGATTTGGCTCCACCTTCAGAGATCTAATATAATGGGGCTTGGGTGGAGCACGTGGGTAGATTTTAAAGCTTTCCAGTGCTTCTAATGTGCAGGCGCAGTTGGGAGCCAGCAGAAAAGTGAAACATTCTTGGGTAGGTCAGAGGGAGGGGTCTGTTTGGTCACAGGGCAGTGGAGGGTTGGGATTGCCAAGTCCTGAGCCTGACTGGAAAGGCTTGAAACCTAGGCACAGACCCTGAACTATCAGGGTCCTACTGTGGTTGGGATATTGCTGGCCTTTCTTTTCTCTTTTATTGTCTCTTTAGCTGTAATAATACCTGTGTGAGAGCTAGGACTCTTGTTTCAGACAGCTTCATCAGGAGTGCTTATTTCTCCATTTCATACTCCAGCTGCATGCACACAGATAGACATACAGTCTGACCTGGATATACCCTCCTAGGTCTTTCCCCAGTAAGCAGGCAAATTGTCCCAGCTAAGAGGGAGGTTTTCAAGGAAGAGTGCTTGACTGAGAAGCTCTGCTTCCAACAGCTCTGTGGCCTTGAGTAGATCACATATCCCCTCTGAGCCTCTCTTCCCCATCTGTAAAATGGGAATAGAAGCTCTGGGGTCCCTCTAGGTATGATCTTCAGCAGTTGGAGAGGCAATACAGGATGAGGGCAAGGGCTCTAGACCTAGAATCTATAAAATGAAGAATAGTATTTGTCCTGCCAATCTCAAGGGGCTCTTTTCAGAATTAAATGGGCTACACACTGGGGGAAAAAAATCACAAGTCAATCAGAGAATGCTAGCTGCTCTAACAAATGACTCCAAATACTAGAAGAATAACACAACAAGTACTCATTCTGTCCTCATATCACAGACTAATCTGTATTTCAAACAATCCTGCAGGATCTAAGGCTTTCTCCTTCCTGTGGCACCATCATCTTCAACATATGTCCTTCAAGGTCACCGTGGAATGGAGCAGTATGGAGGGTGGTGCAGAGAATTTCATGACTACATCTGTACATCACTTCCACCACATTCCACTGGCCAGAACTGATCATATGGCCCCTTTGTAGGTTCAAGAGTCTGGGGAATGTAGTCCTGTCTCCCTGCAATGTAGTGAAATTGATTTGATGAACATATAGCATTTTCTTGCCACACCTGTGAGATAATCTGTGTTGAGTGCTATTTAAATGTTACTAATAATACTTTACAGTAATATCTTGTATTACCAGAAGAGGATGATAATAATGGATACCACTTGTTTTTGACCCTTCTAAGTCAATGGCCATATTAGCCATGCATATGGTATATGAAGGGCAGAGATAAAAAAAACTTGAGGCTCAAGAAATGCTCCATTTTTTTCTTCTGCTTAATCAAATCAAATCTACTTCAAGCTTCAATCTCCAAAATCAATGTGAATTCCAATGCCAACCACTCAGGTGCCTCCCCCTACTTGGCAGCTGTGAGAAGCCCTGGCCTTGCAGAGTCTGGGTAGTGGGAAGAGTCTGTGGTCTTCCGTCCACTTCGCTGGTTGGCCAGGTGTGCAGGCTCTGGAGGGAGATGGGAGCTCCCTGGTGGACATCTCTGTGCTCTGACAAAGGTGGCCCAGTAGACCTCTGCTGTGACATGCCGAGGCACAGAGTTTAGTGCTTAGTTACCCTCATCTGATCTTTGCTATTACCCATAAGCTGGGTTCAAGTTGGCCCTGGTCTTCCCCATTCCCTGGAACCTGCAACCCTGTGCCCTCACAGTCTTGAAGAATCTAATCTCCCACTCTTTAACTAAAAGCATCAGCCTCGTTCTCACTCTTTCTGGACAATCCAGTGGATTGGTTTAATTAGCTAGCCAGGGATCTTGAACTCACATGCCTCCACAAGCCAGCTAGAGGGAATGAATGAGTTAACCCAAGAGAATAAGTACTGTGAAGAATTAGAGAAACTGTATCCATCTCAAAGGTGCAGCTGCTCCCCAGGTCCTGCAGATTATCCCAGGTCAGATTGTCCCATCCATGCCCAGTGTCAACAGATTCTCAGATTTTCAAGTGATGCCAGAATCCCAGACTTTTGTGCCAAATCTCCTGATTCATAAGTATTGGCAGTTAGTTCATTTTTAAAGATACTACACAGCCCAAGCAAAACATGTCTGCAAGCCAGATGTGGACCAAAGATGGAGAGTTTGTTCTAGCTGCCCAGACTTTCGAAAATAAACTTTATTTACATTGTATCCCAGGGCTACTGGCAACTTCTCTATTTTTCTCTGAAACATAAAAACATAACTCCCCTTGCAAAACAGGAGAGTGATGGGCTCAAAAGACAAAGGCTTGGCTGCCCTTCTATGAAGAGGAAGAGAGGAGATCAATTGTTGCAGCTTTAGGTCTTTCTGTGTAGTCCACAGTGAGAGGAGAGGAAGAAGGAAAAATCAAAGGGAAGAAGGAAGGAAGGAGGAAGGGAGAGAGGGAGAGAGAAAGAAGGGAAAGAAAATTGGAAGGAGAAAGGAAAGGAGGGAGAGAAGGAAGGAAGAAAAGAAAGAAAGAAAGAAAGAAAGAAAGAAAGAGAGAAAGAAAGAAAGAAAGAAAGAAAGAGAGAAAGAAAGATCCAATTAATTTCTAAATAATTCAGCCTGCATGCAAGGTGGAAATGGATAGATGGAAAGATAGATTGTGACCATCCTCCATGCTAGGCTAAATAGTGTCCTTGCCAGTTTGAGGAGATGTTGCCTTAGCCAGCAGAGTGGCCAGGTTGGCAGATGTGGCTGTAACACCCGGCCCACTCTGAGCCTTGAGGAGACTCGGGATCATGCCCTGACAGGGACAAGAGTCTCACAGTGGGCAAGTGAGAGCCAGGAGGAAAGCGAGGCTTTAGAAATGCTAGGTGGCCCCAGTATACTTTGCACCAACTCACCCCAGAGCCATGAAGGGACGACTTGGTGAATCCATGGGCACAAGGAGCCTTGGCCTAAACAAAGTTTAGCTCTTGGACTGTAACCTGCTGATTTTGAAATTTGTAGTTTCTATCCTACTTCCTTCTGAAGAAGGAATTCTTCAGAATCTGAGGCATTTAAGTTATATAGTTTGTTTTTGTTTTGTTTGGTACCGGGGATTGAACTCATAAGTTATGTATCAAATAGAACACAAAGCTAGAGTACCAAAGAGGAGCCAAGAGGAAAGGTCCCTATCCTTTGAGATGAGCTGATTTTTGAGGTTGGGGTTCAGTTGGGCTGTAAGTTTCCTGGCAGCCAAGTCAAAAAGGGAAACCCAGAGGCATGTGGTTTGTGTTGTCTGGCGACTGGAGACTGCATACTTGCCTGTAGAGACAAACTCTTGGTTGGAGCTCATTGCAAAAAGGAATTTACCAGGTGGGAAGTGTTCACCATACTTCCTATCTTTCTCTACATTCTCCAAGAAGCAGACACCATGACAAGATCAGATGTGCAAGAATTTATTCCAGGAAACACTTGCAGGACAGAAAATGGGGAGGAAGTCAGGTGTGGTGGTGCATACTTGTAATCCCAGCACTCAGAGGCTGAGGCAGGAGTATCGCTGAGAGCCTGAGGCCAGCTTGGGCTACATAGTGAGACCCTGTCTCAAAATTTTTAAAAAAGAAAGAAAATCAAAGAAAAAGAAAATGGGGAGAGAGCTGGGAAGGTAAGCTACCTGGCAGTAATGCAAATTGGATCCCAGTGCAGGAGAATGGAAAGCAGGGCTAGAGGGAAATGTCTCAGACTGGCTTTGCCCAGAAATGGTCAGCAGGGTGGTCAGGGAACCTTGGACCCAAGGTAGTCATCAGAACACATGTCTCTTGGGGGCACTGTAGGAGTCGGCTATGCTGTGTTGCTGGTAAGCCTGGCTCCACACCGACATGGAGTTCACAGCACGGCAGCAGAGCCTGATGTCGAGTGAACTCCCTGAAGGGAGGCAGTGAGAGATCTGCAAGGTGGTTTATTTCCCACACATCTCTTGCTTATTCTTGTACTGACTTAACATATGGCCATATTATCATGCCATTGTTAAGGAAAAGATAATCCTATCACTTGTCAAAATGGCAAGAAACACTTTATTCAAGGTTAATATAGAAGGGAGCAGAAAATCAGCTTAACTCTGAGAATGAGAAAAAGACAGCTAAGGATGTACAGTGCTGAACGGAGTGAGGCCTCAGGGGGTGGGGACTTCCTAAGAGGGGACAACACAGGGAGGGGCTCCTGCTGACCCAACTCAACAAGATTCTTGCTGGAAGCAGGTCAGACCATGTTTCTTTAAGTAGGCTAAATTTTCATTTCATGAACAGATTGAGGAACTAGTTGTTTGAGTTAACTTTTCTCTTTGCTGAGACAAAATACCCAACACCCACAAGTTAAGGGAGGAAAGATTTATTTAGCTCACAGTTTGTAGAGGCTTCAGTCCATAATCCGCTGATTCCAAGACAGGGTGGCAAGGCAGACAGGCATCGCAGAGGAGAAACAGTTCATGATCAGCAGAAGGTAGCAAAGCAACAAGGGATGACCACAGTTCTTCCTATCCCTTATTTCTTATGCAGGCTACTTAGGGCAGGTAGCATTCACACTCCTTTTTTTTGTTACCGGGGATTGAACTTGGGTCCTTGTGCTTGCAAGACAAGTGGTGAAACCATTGAGCTAAATCCCCAGCCCTGTCACACTCTTAATCCTAGTGCCCTTGATCCCAGCATTGCACCATGAGTCAGTTCCAGCATCACACACCCCAGATCCAGCCGCCTCTGTAAACGCCCCACCTATGACGCATGAGCCTTTAGAGGGATATCTAAGCACAAGCCATAACCTTTGTCATGTTATGACAAAGACTCATGCACATCCCTTTATGCAAAAGGCATCAACTCCAAGAGTTGCCAAAGTCCTAACAGTTTCAACCCTGCTGAAAAGTCCAAAGCCAAAGTCTCTGAGATTTAAGGCAAACTCTTAGCTGCAAGCCCTTGTGCAAGTAAAAAGAAAGTTAAACACTTCCAACAGTCAATGGCACAACATAGGCATTCCCATTCCAAAAGGTACAAACAGGGGGATAGCAAGGAGTGGTAACAAAGCAAAACCGAAATCCAGCAGGGTAAACATTAAATCCCACAGTTCCGCTTCCAGCATTCCCGGCAATCTGTGGCAAGTTGTGAATTCCAAAGGGCTTGGGTGGCCCCACCCCTGTGGCACTGCCTGTAGTTGTGGCTCCCAAGGCTTCTCTCTTGGGCTGGTTCTGCTCCCTCCCTTCAGTTTTCCTCAGACAATCCACATTCCTGGCTTCTCCAACTTTCTGGAGTCTCCACCACACCTTCAGTTTCACACTCACAGCTTCACACACTGCCCTCTCAGGGGCACACTGCCTGGCCTCCTAGGCCTTCTTCTGAAATCTGGGTGCAAGCTTCCCTGACCCCACAACTCTTGCATTCTGCATGTGCCTAAAACCAGCAGCACATGGATGATACCAACTAGAGCAGCAGCCAGGCTTCCTTCTCTTTGGCTCTTGGGGTGGAGTGCCTATGAACCAAATCCTGAGAAACGACTTTCCTAGGGCACCACCATTATGGAACATGGTGCTCTGTGGCTCTCTCCTCAGAGCAAAGTCTTTCCCTTTTGCAAGTTTGAGGCCGCAAAGGCTGGAGTCCTGTTGTTTCATGTGATATCCTCAGGCCATCTTTTGTATTCTTCTGTTCCTTCTCAGCATTTAAGATCTCCTCTGCTCCATCTGTGCAGTCCACAGCTTTACTGGAGCTTCCTTTCTGGCCAAACTCGCAACATTTTAAATCATTTTGCTGGCCTCTTTGCTCTTGATTCTCAACATAGATCTGGTTAAAATCCCCCAACAGTAACCATGCCACTGTCTCAACATTAGACTGCCTTGAAATTTCTTCTGCCAGATTAATTAGTCTGCCACCCTTAATCCCAGTCTCAGGCAAGTCTCTGGACATGAGCAAAATGCAGACAAAATTTCTTCCATGGTGTAACACACATTGTCTGGAGTCCAGCAGACAATGCATTCCTTCTTCCCAGCAGAAGACTCCTGAGCCTGGTCTTTACTGGGATAATTTCTGTCAGCATTTTGGTCTTCTGAGTTCTCAGCAGAATCTCCCATCAAGTACAGCTAAGGCATTCCAGCTCTACTTTTTCAGCTGGCAACTCCAAACCTTTCCTAACTCTTCCTCTTCCCACAAGCCAGCTCCAAAGGCTCCTAAACCACATAGTCAAGTACAGTCATGGCAATGACCCCACTTCTCTAGTACCAAAATCTGTCTTAGTTACTTTTCTCTTTGCTGAGACAAAATACCTGACACCCAAAGTTAAGGGAATAAAGGTTTATTTATCTCACAGTTTATAGAGGTTTCAGTCCATAATTGGCTGGCTCCAAGGAAGGGAGGCATGGCAGAGGGGCATCACAGTGGAGAAACAGTTCATGATCAGCAGAAGGTAGCAAAGCAACAAGGGACAACCACAGCTCTTTCCATCCCTTATTTCTTATCCAAGCTACTTAGGGCAGGTAGCACTCACACTCTTAATCCTAGTGCCCTTGATCCCAGCATTGCACCATGAGTCAGTTCCAGCATCACACACTCTAGATCCAGCTATCTCTGTAAAAGCCCCGCCTATGACTGGATGAGGCTTTAGGAGGACATCTAAACACAAGCCATAACATAGTTATATATATTTTCCCAAATACACATTAAAATTAATGCATAACTGTTCAAATTTTAGGATAGTTTGTATGCCACCTAAAATTGTCTTGTGTGTCACTTTGTATATAGCAGTCTCCCTTTATCTATGGGAAGTATGTGGATCCTTGAAGCCATAATAGTACTGAACCCTTACAGATAGACCATATTTATTTGTACATGTCCTATAGCTTTTCCTATATGCCCTACAGCTTTGCCACATAGAACCAGAGTTAATCTGTCCTTTATCTTTATGCTCTGGTAACTCTTGTGCTTTGGGGCCATTATTATGTAAAATGAGGATTACTTAAACACAAGCACTGCTATACTGTGATAGTTGATCTAACAACTGAGACCGTTACTAAGTGACTAACAGGTGGGTAATGTATACAGCATGGATACAAGCACTGGACAAAGGGATGATTTGTGCCCCAGCCAGGAAAGAGCAGGACAGTGTAGGGGTTTATTGTGCTACTTAGAATGACAACCAATTTAAAACCTATAAATTATTTACTTCTAGAATTTTCTACTTAATATTTTGGGAACTTGGGGGGGGTTGGATTTTCATACATCCCCCACTTTAGGAAATGTTACACATGAAAATGTTCTGATGAAAATATTGTCTTCAGCCCTGACTAGTGTGCTGCCTACCAGCTCTAGGTTGGTTACCTTGGGACACACCTTGTGGTTCATAGGAGGGCTAAAGACATTCTCGGGGGGAATGGAGTGGATAGGAGTGAGGCCAGGTGAGTTAAGCCTCCAATTCCCCTTGTTCTCCCTCCAGATGCAGAACTGGACCTCCAGAGGAGCGTGCAAGCTGTGCTCCGGGAGCTTAGTGCCCAGGCCCCAGCCCTGCAGAGCAACCAGGGTAAGTGCTGACAGGCAGGTGGCAACTGCCCCTCTGGCTCCCTATCTCACCCCTCCAGCCCTATCCACTCACTCAGGAAAGGACCCAGCCTGGAGCTCATGGGTGAGAGCCTTCCAGGCCAGCCCCCATCCTAGTGGGAATACCTAAGCGTGGGGAGCCAAGAAGGCCTCTCAGCACCTTGCTTCAACCTTCCTAGCAGCTGTGACAGAGACTGGGGACTTGGCACCGTCTTTCTTTCTTTTTTTTTTCATATCCTTTTATGGGTACATTTTAGGTGTACAATATAATGGCGTTCATCATTGGAAATTTTCATCCTTACATAATATCCCTTGGTTCTTATTTTTCCCCCTTCCCCTGCCCTCCCTTCAACCCCTCCATCCCTCCCTATTTACAAGGACTTTGTTTCCTTTTTTTTCATTTTCTCATATTAATTCCATTCCCTTCTTTCCTTCCCCCTACCCCTCCCACTTCCCCTTCCCCTTTGCCCCTTTTCTTCCTATTTCATGTTATTTTTCATACCTTTTAGTCCTTGTTTACACTTTCAGTTTCTCACACTAGAGAAGCTATTTGGTATTTACACATGTGTGTCCTATTTTTTTCACTTAAGAGTATCGCCTCAATGTGCATCCATTTAGCAATAAATGTCTCTAATTTCTCATTTTTGATGGCTGAGTAGTACTCCATTCTTATTTTTAAAAACCACATTTTCTTTATCCAGTCTCCAGTTGATGGGCAATTGGGCTGTTTCCAAGTTTTAGCTATTACAAACTGTGCTGCTATGAAGATGGGTGCCACCCTCTTTCTTAACCATCTTCCCCAGCTCCACTTCCAAACAAAAATCCTCTCCAGCCTGCAGAACTTCCAGAGGGTGGCTGGCTAACAACTGCAATCGGTGCTGCTCTGTGGTCCTCATGCACACACCTGTCCCCAGTTGTGTCCTCCTCCCCTCCTTTCTAACTTGGGGACTCACTGTGCACAAAGGGCCAAGGATCAGAATTGTCTCATTGGGGAAGAGCACACCTATGTGTACGTGGAGCCCAGTGTTAGCCATGGGGTCAGAGATGGCTGGAGAGTCAGTGTGAGGCCCAGGCTCGGGGTCCCACCAAGAGGACTCTCCTCCAAGAGCCCCCTCCATGCCTGGTCTGACAGGGCTGTGCTTTCTCCTGGTCAGGCATGTGGAGATGGTCCCTGCACAAGAAGGTAGAGCGGGACCCTGGGAGGAACCCGGTGCTGGTCCGCATTCTGCTCAGAGAGCTGGAGAAGGTGGGTTCTCTGGCTTTGGGGAGGCGGATGAAGCAGAGAGAAGAGGGGCCCCCCAGGCTGGGGGCTCAGTCCTGGCAGCTCGGGGTCATTTGTGGGTCATCTGCTTGATTTCTACCATCATACCTCCCTCCTAGACCTTTACCTAAGTAATGTATTTTTTTTTTTTGCATCAACTCCCAGTGCTTTATTTGAGTTAACATTTCAAAAAGAAACTCCATAACATGGCCATTAATGGAAAACTCATGTCACTCATCAGAGATAGAAAGCACCTCTAAATGTATGTCTATAACTGCTCTACTTTTTCACAATTATCCTTGAAGCGCCTGAAGTTTTCCTCCAGACCACTCCATCTTCTGTGACTGGGAAACACTGCACTCAAGGAGAGCTCCAACTTAGGGGCTTGCTTGTCACTTTTCTCTCTGCTCCTGCCCTGAGTCTGTGCCACCCCTCCCCTACAGTTTCCTTCACCTCCCCCTCTACACACACAGAGGGGCCCCTACACTTCTCCCCACACTCCTGCTCTGTTCAGGGCAGACTGGAGCCCTTGGCAGAGTGGAACACTGCCTGCTGCCCCCCCTCCACCCAGCTCCAACCTAACCACCTCCCGCTAGGATCCCCTGATGACCCCCCACCCCAGCCCTGGCCCAAGCTACATCAGTGTCAGGGAATCTCCCTGTTTTCCAGGCAGAGAGCGAGGACCTCCGGTACATCATCATTCCCCTGCTGCACACCCTGATGTACGTGCTCACTAAGGTGAGCTGGGGGCTGGGGGTCAAGGTGGTTGTGGTGACCTACTCTTCTCTCCCTTCAGTGACCACCTCATCTCCACCAGGGGTGCCTAGAAAAAGTCTGGGACCACCTGCTGCACAAGGGTGTGTAAGCACCAGCTCACCTTTTTCCTTCCCAGTCAGAGATAAAATTGGAGAGGCAGTGGGGAAGGGGAGGCAGTGTGGGGCATGTGTGGAGAGCCTGAGAGCCCCGATGAGATCTGTGGGCTTGTTCATATGTGAGCACCACTGATCATTACATGGGGAAAAGACATGACGAAAAGTATCTGTTAATGTCTCGGGGAAAGTAATGGGAGCCATGGGCAGTCTTGGGAGACTGGGGTGCCCGGTGAGGAAAGTGAGCAGCAGGAAGACAAGCCTGGGGCAGCTGGAGCGTCCAGGATGAGGACAGGTTTTGGCTCCAGCAAAGGCCAATGGCACAGTGATGAAGAGCAGGAAGGGGATCAAAGGGAGTCTCCGGGCTGTTGTGGAGTATTTTCTGCCAGTGAGGAGCAATGGATTCTCAGGAGCAACCCCAAGGCACTAATCCTGGAGAACCATGGGAACGTGCTACGGGCTGAGCAGAAGGGTTGAGAGGGGAGTTGATTGGCCGGCAGCATGCGATGCAACAAGTTTCTATTTTGTGAGCGGGAGTGGGGTTCCCCAGTGCAGAAGGGGCTGGAAGGTGCAAATATGGGAGCAAACCATGAACCAAGTGTGTCTGTTAGGCCCAATCCTCTTCCTCTCTTCCCCACCTCCAGCCCACCCAGGACCTTCCTGACTAGGGCTCTGGGTACCCCAACTTCTCCCTCTCACCCAGGCCACAGGCATCACGGAAGAGCTCTACCGTAGAACCTATGCCTTCTGCACCAGGTTACTGACCCTGCCCACCCCCTACTGCACAGTCGCTTTGGACTACGCCATAAGGCTGAAAACGGAGATAGCGGTCCCAGGTGAGAGCTCCTGGTCTCTCGGCACCACCCAAGATCTAGCCTTCTTCTCCAGGACGCTAGGGAGCTCAAAGGTCTCTGCACCTTCCATGGGAAGGTGGAGAAAGGGAGTCAGAGACTGAGGCTTATGGGCTGACACGGACTGGCTTGCAGGGACGCTGTACCAGAGGACGGTCCTTGCTGAACAGAACCTGATGAGTGAAGTGTATCCCTACCAGGAGAGGTGAGTAGCCCCAGAACCCTTGTTGCCTTCACCTCCAGAGGTGTTGGAGACTGTGTGACTGCTCGCTGGCCAGAGGACAAGAGAGGAGGCTGGATTGAGAAAAGCCAGAGCAGAGCTTTGCAGCCACGATGTCTGACCAGCAGTGGAGTGAACTTGCAGTTCTAGGAGGGTCAGGCCATGTCTTTATGTCTTTTTCCAGAGACCACTGGAAGGACAGGCTGGTGTCAGAGCTGCCCTGCTCATGTGCACATGGCTCTGGTGTGGCTCTGCAGTTCTTTTTTTTTGGTTTTTGGAGACAGGGTCTCACTATGTAGTAGTTCAGGCTGGCTTTGAACTCACAGCAATCTTCTTGAATGCTGGGACTAAATATGTGTGCCAGCACGCGCAGCTTTGCAGTTCTACTCTTGTACCTCCATCCTGCCATTGGCTGTGATATATCATCAAACCAGCCAGGTGACCAGAGGTGGCTCCAGAATATCCACAGTGCAGGGGTCTGGGGCCATAGTCCCACGGTGACATCTGAGGGCTTTGCTCTGTGTATGGCAGCCATCCTGATAAGACAGAAGCAGTGGGGAGTAGAGCAAGGTCCATTGCTCAGATTGGAGAGATGGTGATGAAGTTGCCTTCCTCTCTCAGGTGTCTCCTCTCACTTGGCCCTGAGAGACACAGCTTGAGTTGAGGCTTCGGGAGATGCATTGAGGAAGGGTACAGGGAGGTCTGAAGGGGACCCAGAGGAACTAGTGCTGGAGAGGGGGGTGACAGATTTGGCTGAGGAGGAGAGTGTGGGTGAGACTGGTTTTCTGGTGTGATGGGGGTGATGAGAGAAGCTGGGCTTCATTCAGCATCCAGAGCTACATTTCTGGCAGGATAGATTTAGGGTCCCTCCCAGGGGGTGGACAAGGATGCTGAGGGAGGGAGGAGCAAGTAGGTTTGGACTCCCCTACACACAGAATCAGGACGGCTTTCCTGTACGAAGACAGTGGACTCCAGCCAAAGGGACTCTAGCAGTTCTCTAGCAGGACCGCGCATGCTCCTATTTCCCATAGTCCCCACCACTCCCGATTGCCCCGCCTCTCCCTTCTCCCTTCCTCAGAGTGTTCCTCTTCGTGGATCCCGAGCTGGTGTCTGCCTCCGTGTGCAGTGCCCTGCTGCTGGAGATCGAGGTAGCCCAGGGGCAGCAGACACCTGAGGCCTGCATGCGCAACGTGGTCTCCCACGCCCTGCAGGCAGCTCTGGGGGAGGCCTGCCACGCGGGCGCTCTGCACAGGAAGCTGCAGGTAACTGATGCCCAAACCCCGCAAACCCTCGGCAGGCACTCGCTCTCCTCACCTGCTTCTGTGTCGCGTCACCTTCCCTCTCCCCATAAATAACTAATTAATACAGGTTAATTATGAGTAGATTATAAGGACGGCTGGATCGGATGATGGCTGAGGTGGGGAGCTGCTAGACTCAACAGTGATCCTGCTGCTACAGCGTGGGCCGGGCACCCAGGAAGGAGGGTGCAGCTCCAGGAGAGTCCGACTAATCTAGACCCTGTTTCTTGGCCCAGGCAGAGGGGAGGGGTCAGGCCTTTTTTTCCAGCCCCGACTTAGACCTTGCTTTGCTCATTAAAATGCATTGGATGATTGCTCTTCTTGCTGTGTTTCATCTGAAATTCTCCAGTCTGAATCCTACATCTTAGATCATTTCTTTGACCGGTCCTTCCTTTTACTGCCATCTCCCTTCTTAAACCGTTCCAGGCCACCTCCTCCTAACAGTGTGAGAGGCACAGGGACCCCCAGTTTCAGGCAGCATGGGACAACAGCTACAGCAGGGCAGGGGCAGGAGCAGGCGCAGGACGTGGGGTTCTGGAGCCTTCTCGGATGGGTCTGCTGGGGCAGGGAGGAGGTGTGGCTCCGGGCTGGCCCTGGCCCTGAGCACTTGGCATAGGAGTTGGGGTGGGTGGCTGGGTGGGTGCTGGGCCGGGACTCAGGCTCTGGCGTCCTTCCCCGCAGGCCACCTCTCGCTGCGTCCTGGAGCACTACTTCCACGCTGTGGTGGCTGCTGTGGAGCAGATGGCAGGCGAGGCCAGCCCTAGCCGCGCCAGACACCTGGAGAGGCTGAAGGAGATTTACGGCTCGCTGCTGGGTCCGGCGGCGGCCGCGAGGGGGCGCTGCAGCAGTAAGCGGCGGGCTGCTGGGCTGAGGTGGGGAGCCTGGTAGGAGCCTAGCTGGGACAGGCGGCCGCAGGGGGCGCCAGAGAGCTGCGCTGTATCTGCCTGGAGCCTGCAGTTGAGGCTGGGAGGGTGGCTAATGTGGTCGTGATATCCCACACCTGTGGAGCACAAACTATACCCCAATAGCTATTCTAAGCACTTTAAATATGTTTTAAATTACGTATATTAAGTCATATAATCTTCACAGTGAACTTCTGAGATTAAAACTATTACTACCCCTTTTTTTACAGCGATGATAACAGAGTTAGAACGAAGTTTAAAATTGCCCAAGATTACTCAGCTAGTAAGGGGCAGAGCCAAGCTTCAAATCCAGGCAGTAGGTCTTCACCACTCTGCTACCATAGCCAAGGGATTTGGTGACTAGAAGATCCTCTACAGAGTGTCGAAGGTAGTAGATGAGTCATCATCTATATGCGGTGTCACAGGCTTTTATCCCGCATCTTCCTTTCTATTTGCACACTTATAGACTATGCCATACTCTGCTGGGAGGAAGCCCCATGTGAATGGGGAAATCCAAAAGAGCCCAGACAGGTATCCCCGAATACACGTTTCCCAGTTGGTGTAGGATGACTCTGATGTGTGGAGTTCAACAGAATCGGAAGGACACAGGTTAGGTGCGTCCAACGTGCAGACCTCCAAGTTCTGGTTGGAGAGAATGATCACTGTGGACCACTGGAGTGGTCAGGAAACTTCTAAAAGGAGGGGCAGCAGGAGGGGCTGGCGCTGCTCTCTCCCTGGGTCCCCCAGGCTTCCTGCTGCCCTCTGCACTTAGCTGATGTGATGAGGGCTCTGCAGCATGGAACAGAAGCGTACAAATGACCAGAAGTGGCCTGAGAGAAGCAGGTCTTTTTAAAGAACACGTGGAAAGCCAGACTGCTGGGATACAGCACTGGCATCAGGGCAGGGTTGACAATGAGTGAAAGGCTGGAAAAGACCAAGCTGCTTTGCAGAGGACCCTAAGGCTGAGCTGGGAGGTTTGTAGGAAACAGGGAGCCCCTGAGCCTTCTCGGCCAGGGAGGGAGGCAGAGGCAGATTAGGCCCTGGACCAGCTGATGGTGACAGAAGAAAAGCAGACTCTACAAGTCCAGAGAAGCCAGAGACGGTCCCTGGTACCATCAGGAGCTGTGTGGGAAATGGGAGAGGGCAGAGGAAGAGCCCACACTGCTCCTTTCATGGTCTCCACAGCCTGCTCCTTTCTTCAGGTGACCCTCCCCAGGACCGGCCACCAAGCATCCCCCTGCCCAGCCCCTACATCACCTTCCACCTGTGGACTGACCAGGAGCAGCTCTGTACGTGCCCTTGCTTCTGACATCCCAGGGGCAGCAGGCTGGAAACCGCAGTGTGTGTGTGTGTCTATGGGGGTGTCGGTGTTTGCTATTTGTTTTTGCCCATGTTGTTCTGCACGTCTGAAAGAAGTGCACACATTCTTGACACTGGAGTAGCTCAGTGCATTAGCCATGGGTCTCGTGTACCCAGATTGTGCCACAAGGCCATGATGTTGCCAACAGTGTTCCCAAGAGGGAGGCAAGCACAAAACATTATGGTTCCCAGATTCGGGGGAGACCTTCTAGAGAGACCCAGGAGGCTGACACATCCTTGTGACACCATTGGAGCCCTGGCCCTGCCACCCTGACTGTCCCCCTGTTCTCCTGTCCCAGGGAAGGAGCTGGTGCTCTTTCTGCACCCGAAATCCCAGCTGCGCCTCAGTGCTGACTTGGAAGCCTTGGACCTGCAGGGCTTTGGGCCAGACGGGGACTTTGCCCGTGTGTCCATGCTGTTCACAGACAGTGGTATCAAGCGGGACTTTCCTTTGGGGGCCAACGAACTCCCTACCCCCAGCAGTCCTGAGATGGAGCGAGCCGGGCTGCAGCGCAGAGGGGGAATCAAGAAGCATGTGTGGCCCCCAGATTTCTCCATGCCCGGCAGCTGGGATGGGCCCCCAGGGCTGCACCGGAGGACGGGCAGGCCCAGCGGGGATGGGGAGCTGTTGCCTGGGGTGTCCCGGGTGCACACAGCCCGGGTGCTGGTGCTAGGGGATGACAGGATGTTGGGACGCCTGGCCCAGGCCTACCACAGACTCAGGTAGGACCCCAAGCACGGTAGTGGGGACTAGGGCTGGTTGGAGGGCCTGGTATGGACTAGAGAAGGATGAGCAAGGGGCAACAGAGGGTCAGGAGGGGAGGCCAGAGTGGGCCTGGGATGTCTGCCAGGTGTGTGGCCATCACAGAGCACTGTACCCAGTTAATTCTCATCAATACTCTGCCAGAGTTGTGATGTACCCATCTCACGGATGAGCAAACAGAAGTTCTGAGAGCCAGTGTGAACTGTCAAAAGTCAAGGGCTAATAAATAGCAGAGTAGAGTCTTTCTGACAGCAAACGTCTGCTCTTACCCAGTATGCTTTGCTGCCCATTGCCAGGAAACGGGAGACACAGAAGTTCTGCCTCACCCCCAGACTCAGCTTGCAACTCTACTACATCCCAGTGCTGACACCCCAGGTGACTGGTCAGGGGGTGGCTGGGGGACTGTGGGGAAGGAGGGGGTAGGTAGGAGAGGGGTCCTGGAAGAGAAGGGAAGGACACCCCTGCAGCCTGGCATCCCTTGGCTTGGGGACCAGAAGCACCATCCTTACAATGTGATGCTGGGAGAGGCCTCAAGAGTCTTCTGATTTAGAAGCTGCCAATGAGTGCTCAAGAGTCTATATGTGACAGAGTCAAGCTCTCTCACAGGAGCTACCTTCCCACTGTTGGCTTCTGTTTTGTTTGTGTAATAGAATTAGTTGCAAACTTCTCAAACAGGGTCACTAGTGCTCTCTGGCTCTCTCTGCGCATGCACACCCCCTCCCCATTCCTGGGATCACAGCAGAGAAAGTTTCAAGCAGTGGAAGCTCATGAATCTAGTGGGGGAGATGGAGCCCCACCTGCAGGATTCACTTTCTGCCGCACACTTTGCTTCCTACCAGGAGTGGTCAAATCGAAGCGATACTTGTCTCTCCCCTTCTAAGGCTGGCTGGCGGTCATTTTTCAGTGTCCCTAGAGGGCAGCCCTTGGCCAAGCCTCTTCCAGCTTCCCCTAAATTTGTGAAACAGAACTAATTTGCCTTCATGTGATGCAGAAATTGAGGCCCCAAGAAATCAGATGATCCAATCATGTTCACAAAGCACAGGCCATGGTACCTGGGGGGTACCTGACCAGAAGGGCCTGACGTGTCTGCCCTGTCCCTCTATCCCCAGGAGCCTGCAGCATCCAGGCCTCCTGAGCTGGGAGAGCTGGCCACCTTCTTGGGCCGCGCAGATCCTTGGTACGAGAGCACTGTCAACACCCTGTGTTCCTCCATCCACAAACTGGCTGAGATGGTAGGGGCAGCCAGGGTTCAAGGGAGGGTGGGAGAGAGCGGCTGGATTCTGGGCAGAGGAAGGACCCAAGCAGGGTAGGGATGGGAGGAGCCACTTTTTAAATATTGCACTGGACCTGAAGAGTCAGCCCTAAGAGGGCTTTGGGGGAAGATGAGGCGAGAAGGGAGTGAGGCAGGAGAGGGGTCCTGTGTGCCCAGTGGTTGGGGTTCACTGGGAACCCTAACCAGGCTCCTCCTTAGGAAAGGCAAAGGAAAACACTTTCACAAGTGTCTAGGCCAACTGCAGTCCTTTTGTGAGCTTCCTAGATCCTTTGTCTGTGTTTGCTGAGCACTTACTATGTGCCGGGTACTGCACTGAGTGCTTACACAAACGGACTTGCTCATTGAATTCTTGAAGCAGCTCTACCAGGTAGGTCCTCTCAATGCTAGGTGCTGATTGCTGTAACCTCATTCTACAGATTTGATTTGATAACTTGCTCTAAGTAACTGGCTTGAAACGGCTTTAATCTATTCCAAAGGAGACCCCTTTTCCTGTCATAGATGTTATACATCTTTTTTTTCCCCACTTCGTAATTTATCTAATTGTTGTTGTTGTTGTTGTTTTTTACATAAAGAGTTTGATGGTTTTGTATAATCAGGCAAAGCACTTTTACTCTTTATGGAGTCAGGCTGAACACTTTTAGTGCCTTAGTTTTTACATTTAAATAATTAGCCCATCTATAGTTAATTGTAGTGTTTCATGTGATATGTGGAATTGGTTTTTTTCCAAGGGTTTAGCCAGTTGTCCTGAAGCTATTTATTGCCTAATCATCTTGGCTCATCCATTTGCTATGCCACTGTTACCATTCACTTAACTCCTCACACATTCTTCAGTTTACTTCTGGGCACCTGTTGTCTCTCATGAATCTATGAAGTTTTGTATAAATTGGTACGTTTATGTTTTAATATCTGGCAGGGTAAACCTACACCATTACTCTTCTTTAAACAATTTTTCAGAATGTGCTTATTTATCTTTCCTGATAAATGTTAGAATTGCATTTCCAGTTTGGTTTTTATATTATTTTTTAATTGTATTGGGATTCCCACTGAAATTCAGAGGAGAATTAGCATCTTTAATGTGTTAACTTTTCCTCTCTGGAAGTATAATACAGCTCTTCATTTATGAAAGACTGCTTGTATGGCTGTACTATTTTATCACATATTTTGCCCCTTTCTTGCTAAATTATTTCTCGTGTTAATTTTTTTTGGTACCGGGGAACAAACTCAGGACCTTGCACTTTCAAGGCAGGTGGCAGCACCACTGAGCTAAATCCCAGCACTCATGTTAATTCTTGATGTCGTGAATGGTCTTCTTCCAGTACAGATCTAAGAGTAGAAATTATTGCTAATGATAAAGGAAGCTATTGATTTGTACATATTTATTTATTTTGGTGTTTTAAAATTCTGATTTTAAAAATCCATATAACATAAAATTTACCATCTTTTACCCATTTTTTAAAACTTGCCACTGTATTAAATGCTCCATTTTGAGATAAAATCTGAGCTTCTGTCCAAGTCTAATACTACAGATTGAGTATTCCTAGTCTGAAAATCCAAAATCTAAAATGCTCTATAATCTGAAGCTTTTGAGCACTGACATGATGCCACAAGGGGAATTCCACACCTGATCTCATGTGAAGGGTCACAGTCAAAACACAGGTGCACTAAAAATATTATACGAATTTGCCTTTAGGCTCTAGGTACAGGGTGAATATGAAATAAATGAATTTCATATGTAGACTTGGACCCCATCACCAAGATACCTCATTATCTATGAGTATATGCTCCAAACCTTTGAAAAAATCTGAAATCAGAAGCACTTCTGGTCTGAGGCATTTCAGAGAAGACAATCTACCTGTATCACATTCTACGTAGATGTTCTGTTTGCCCGAAATCTCCAATTGTTATGCTTTACAATCATGTCGGACTGAGAGCAGCAAGGAGGATAAGGCACTAAGTCCCTTCCCAACAACATACAAACATTACTTAGTTTGTTTATTTATTTGTTTACTTGTTTATGTATTTACTTATTTTGGGATCTCACTGTGTGGCCAGACTGGTCTCAAAATCAAGATCCTCCTGCCTCAACCTCCCAACTAGCTGGGATGCCACATACCCAGCTTACTAATTAGTTCACTGATAGATCCAGAGATCACCAAAGCTGAAAAAGACATCTGACTGTATACTCAGGCCTCAGAGCATTGGGTAATTTGCCCCAGGTTTCCTGGCTTGCCAGTAACCAATCCAGCACCCAGTGCCTTACACATACAGGTGCTCGATATGTCTTTGTGGAATTGAAATGCATCAGATTCTCTGGGGAGATGGACCTGTGGAGTAGTGTATTTTAATTAGGAATAGAAATCAAGTGGTCAGAAAGGTTTGGAGTGTGTTGAAGGACCAGCTGGGTTTGTAGACCAGAGAGTATGTAGGGACTTCGGAGTTTATTAAGAAAATGGTGCCTACCACAGTAGACTGGAGGGAGGTGGCTGAAGATATTCCGGATCTCCTCACAGCCACTCTGTCTGGACACAACTCAGACTGTGGACCCCTTCATCCTCGACGTCATCACCTACTATGTTCGCATGGGCACCCAGCCCATCTATTTCCAGATCTACACAGTCAAGGTAAGCCTCCCTGCTGGGCTCCAGCCGTACCATGCCCGCCTGCTGGACCCTAAGGCCCCACAACCTAAAGACCCTTGTCGAGGAAAACACTGGCTACCAAGTTGCTAGTCATAAACACACCCAGAGGCTATTGGTTGTTAAGTTTATATTCTTTGTCTCCGAATGAGTCACATAATTATTAACTTATAAGACCTCATATCCATGCAAAAGATTGGGACTCAGGGATTGTCTGCTCCATACTCTGTTTTAAAGTCTTTGGTCACAAATTCCCATCACTCCAAGACTTCGTTTCTCTCCCACCACACCTCTCCTCAGCCTCATGGAGACCTTCAGGTCCCCACATCTGCCCACACCCACTGTCCCCTGCTGCCTCCCCTCATTTCCTACTACTCAGTCTCTCATCTGAGCTGCTTTCTTACCTTGTCCCTCACTTCCCTTTGCACTCCTTCCCTGCTGTCTCCCCACCCAGCAAAACCAAGCTCAGACCAGCCTATCCTGGGTCCTACCTGTTACTCAACTTGGGCTTCCAAGCACCACCTGGGAAAATGAATCCAAGGCCCTGTGGCTTGACACACTCCTAGAGTCCATCCTCTGCCAGGACCACAGCTGAGCTCCCTGGGCAGTGTGCTGCTTCCTCTGGGACCATGGCTGTTCCAATCTTCACCATTTTCCTCAAGGCCCTCCCTTTAGCAAACGCCTTTTTCACCTACTCCTCCCCTGGAAAGAAAAATGGAAGCCATTAGGTCCCCTCTCCAAATTTCTGTTCACACCCCAAAATGCATCCACACCAACTGCTATCGTCACAGTGTCCTCCAGTGGACAGGGGCTTTGTCCAGTTCAGGACAAACCCTTTTGTCGATGCTCTTGTCTCGTCTGCTACTGCCTCATCCTGGACCTTCTTTCTCAGCCAAAGGCTTTCACCTGTTCCTCCCCCATCATTCACTGCTGCTAATCCAAAACTAACAAAACCTTTTGAGTCCGTGAAGTTTCCACTTATTTTCCCATTAAGCACATGCATAGCAATAGGGCTTGATGGGTGCGAAGCCCAAGATCAGACTCTCTCCAGCCCTCCATCTCATCACTTACTTTGTTTCCAAGCTTCATACTCTTGCTGGCATTAACGGGTGGCAGAGGATTTGGCTGATATGGCTTCTGAGATATGACTTCTGAGGGTTGGATTTGGGAGCTTAGTTTCTCTCCTCTCTTTCCTCTCCCCTACTTATTTCTTCTTCCTCCTCCTCCTCTCTCTTTTTCGCCGTCGTGACAAGATGACCACCAGCCGTTCCACATCTACATTTGTCTGGCTTAGCAGCTCCGTGGAAAGAGAGCTTTGTTAGGAGCAATGCTACATAATTTTGGGGAAAATCATTTGATTAGGCCTAGTGAGGTTTCAGGGGGCAAAGTAGTCACTACAACACTCCATTCTTCCAATAAATCTCTGCCCCATAAATTTACAGGTATGGGAGCTACGTAAGGACAAATATGTCCCAATTGACCACCAGGCCCTTCATAAGCCAGGGGAGTGGAGCTTTGCAAAACTTGTTGGAGGGCGCCAAGGCCTACCAGAGATGTTTTTAGTTGTTTTTTTCCCTCCAAGATGATGGCCAAAAGCATGTGCTAATCACGGACACATCTGTGTCTGTGTCTATCAGTCCTGTAAAAAATTTGCCATTCAATTTAATTTTGCACATGGGGCGGTTTTTGGAAATCTCTTGGGTGAAATAAATCTCTTGGGTGAAATTTCTCTTAATTGAAGCTGTAAAAGGATTAAAAATCTAATAATTTTTTAAAACAATGTTGGCTAGAAAACTTAAAACTATTGTTGAACTTGGGCTGGGGATTTAGCTCAGTGGTTCCGCTACCTCCCTCCCAAGTGCCAGGACCGGAGTTCGATCCCCAGTACCAAAAAAAAAAAACTATTGTTGAACTCAAATAAATATTATCTTCAGTTATACTTTTCTACTGGGTGTTTAAGGCCAAGTTACGGTGAGATCTATATTAAATAAAATTAACCTCTTGCTATCTAACAAGGTCAATTAAGTCTCTGCAGGCACTGTCTTGGAACCATGCATAGAGCCTCTTTAGCTCCTCTGTCAGTGTCAGCCATCAGGTTATGTCACGGCCTTGCTCGACCATGTTGCTTTCCTCGAGAGCATGGGAGATTTTCTTTTCTCCAGGTGACATTCCTTTGGCACACTTTTTGTTACATCTTATTGTTTTGGTGTTCAGCAACCTCCCTGCTCAGGAGGTTGGGTGACTCACCAAAGATGCAGGATCTTATTTTTTTTCCCCCATTAAGCTTATTGGTACATTTTAGATATAAAATACAGTAACATTCATCACTGGGATCTTGTACCATTACATGAGTATCTTGGTTCTTATTTTTTTTCCCCTTCCCTGCCCTCCCTTCACCCCCTCCACCCTTCCCTATTTGCAAAGACTTTGTTTCCATTTTTTTCTTTTCTCATATCTTTTCTTTTCCCTTCTT